ATCATTTCATAGAAGTCATCTTTCTCCTCTTCGTCCTTATCTTCAGTAGGTGCATAAAAAGTTACAATGGAAATATTCTTAAATTTACCCTTAATCCTAATATTGCACATTCGTTCATTCACTGCCTCAAAATAAATCACAGATTTAGCTAGTTTTTTACTCACAGCAAAACCAACTCCACCATAATATCTATCTTCATCACAGCCACTATAATATATACAATAATGCTTTGTGTTTATTTTGCCTGCCTGCGGCCATCTTGTCTCCTGTAAAGCAACTACATCCAATTTATATTTATTCAATTCCTCTGAGAGTATTTCACTTGCACCTGGCACAGCCAAGGTTCTTATGTTCCATGAACCAAATCGAAGTGATTTTTGAGGGGTCCGTTCCGTTATCCGTAAATCCTGTCCATTTTCCGAGGCTTGTTGTTGGTGATACGTAACATTGTGATTTTTCCGAGGCGGGTTGTTGGCCCAACGCTCAACCCCCAACCTGGAGGACCAGGAGTTTGTGATCAGAGTCTTCTTCTCCTAGGCCAATTGCTTTCACTGCAGCTTTAAGACGTTGGCCTGGCCTTGGTGTTAGATCAGAGTGTCCTTCTCCTAGCCTTTGGGCATCCAAGCCCTATCGTACAAGGCAGTACGGGCAGTGCTTATTTAATGGCGGCACTTCCTCGCCATGACACAACACTATCATCGGGCTCATGTGTATTTGCTGACAACAATCTTTATCTCAACCTCCTACTCTTAACTATTCCCACAATATCTGGTTCACCATATAATTCTTTTAACTCTCTATTTTTCCTTATCCTCCATGCATTTCCTTCTTTTACTGGTCCAAAAATTCTTCTCAAAATTTTGTTTTCAAAAGTAATAAGGCGCTTCTGGGATTTTTTGGTAAAAGACCAAGATTCTGACCCGTATAGCAATACAGGTTGCACTATAGTTTTATACATTCTTATTTTAGTGGTTTTTGATGGCAGTTTGCTTTTGAATAATTTTATTAAACTCCAGTATGATCTTTCTACTGCTGTGAGTCTGCTCTGAATTTCTATTTCTTCTCTATTATTGTTTGTGATCATCACTCCCAAATACTTAAAAATACTAGTTTTCTGGAACCTATAGTTTAATACTTCTAAGTGGTCTCCCTCGTCATCTTGCCTACTTATTTTCATGTAGTTGGTTTTGTTTTCATTTATTTGTAAACCCACTTTTCTTGCTTCTTTAATTAGTACTCCTGTTAGCACTTTGAGATTATTTTTGTTTTCAGCTACAATGGCTACATCATCTGCGAATGCTAGAAGGTTTATTTTATCAGTAAGTCTTGCCCCTCCTTCACTATTTCTTGTTTTCTTGAGAGCTTCTTCTAGTGCTATATTGAATAATAATGGCGATAGACCATCACCTTGTCTCACTCCGGTATTTATATTAAATGTATCTGTATATTCTTTCCCTATTTTTACTTTCCCTTTGGATTCGTTTAAACACATTTTTGCCAAATGAATAATTTTATTAGGTAATCCATACTTTTTCATCATCTTCCACAGTTTATGTCTGTTTATTGAGTCGTAAGCTTTGCTAAAATCAACAAACATTACATTATATATCTTTGTTGTATTCCTAATACTTTGAGGTTATTTGTTTTAGAATAAATATTTGGTCTGTTGTTGATCTCCCTTTCATAAAACCTGCTTGGTGGTCTCCTACTATTTCTCCTAAATGGCATTTGAGTCTGTTTAAGATAAGTTTTAGATAGTATTTTGTATGTTGTATTTATAAGGGATATACCTCTATAATTTTTGCATTCTAGTTTGTCCCCTTTTTTGTGCAGTGGGACTATTACTGATTCAGTCCACTCTTTTGGCATTTTCTCGCTTTTCCATACTTGAAGAATCAGTTTGTGTAGATGGATGAAAAGTTCTTCGGTTCCATTTTTCATTAATTCTATTGGGATCGCATCTTCACCAGGAGCTTTGCAATTTTTTAATGTTTTTAAAACATCCTTTATTTCTTGTATTGTGGGCTCAGCACAAGGAATTTCTTTGATTCCTTGATCTTCTTCCTCCTCTGCCAAAACTTCATCTTCAATATTCCTTGCTTCATCTTCATTGCAGTTCAATAGTTCACAAAAGTACTCTTTCCAAGTTTTTAAAACTTCAGTTGGCTCACATGTTACTATTCCATTTCAATTTTTCACAACTATTACATTTGGTTTAAATCTTTTTGGAAAAACCTAATTCTTCTGTAGAAGTCTTTAGAGTTATTTTGGTTGCAGTCCTGTTCTGCTCGTAATAGAGTGTTGTTTACATACTTTCTTTTTTCTCTTCCTAGTGTTTTGTTTACTTCTTTATTTAGGAGTTGGTATCTTGCCTTTGACTCCGCCGTGTTATCTGCAAGAGTTTTATTTTATTTTTATTTATTTATTTTATTTTTATCCTTAGAAACTACATTTATAATAGGTCTAAATATTTAATTAAAATTAAATAAAATCGCAAAGACCTACTTAGAAATCCAATGAATTGTAGCTTACCTTTTGGGTTGTTATTAATTCAAACAGTTTTCACGCAGTTGGAATATTACTTCAATTAAATATTACTTAATTCAAGTTTTAAAACTAAAACTGAAAACATAAAATTGACGGGAAACATCCAGTTAAGGATAATTATTAAAAGGGTTGACTTGTTTTGATACTAAAAGTTAGGCTGTATGTTATGAAAAAAATATTTTTTTTATTTCATTATTGGACACACAATAGTTATTTGTGTAACTGGTAAGCAAAGTGGCACTTCGCTGCACACGAGAGCAATGCGGAATGATCTCGAGTGCAGCAAAGGCCTTTTGCACTCGTGTTACACATTACATTTTTCCTGCAGTCACTATAAAGCATATAAATAATTGGTCTTATTTATGGTCTTATTCATGGTTAGGTTAAACCCAAGCCATGAACAGAATGGGAAATACTGCATCAGCTGATTGTAATCGTAGTATCTTTAAGTGTTACCGTACTTATTTTCAAGAGTACAGGTATAAACAGTTATGACCAGTATAAAGACATAGTAAACAAGTAGATTGTTCTTCAAAATATGCCAATAAACATTTTCTTGCAGTTTTGTAACTTTCTTACTTACGCGCCAAAAGGAAAACAGTTCATACGCTCGTTCATACTTCTTTCTTTATTTTTCAGGTAACAGGTTTAATGAAACACGTTTTCAGTTCCTGCTATTTCTGATCTACCATTATATTCACAATCACTTTCACTGAGTTTATTATTTTTAAACATGTTAGGCCCTTATTCATCTCCTACACTTCAGGTTGTGTTCACACCAAGCGTAGAACGAAAATAGAACATAAACTATAAACACAAAATGACAGGTTAAATCGTAGTTATAATAGTCAATCAGCTGATCATAGTATTATTATCTTTAAGTGTTGCCAACCTATTTCCAAGCGTACACAGATTATGTGCATAATAAAACCACTCTGTTTTGTGTTGTTTGGTTGGAATCCTGATGTGCGCAAAAGTATAAACCGTACGACAAAATATAAACCGTACAACAAAGTATAAATATGCAACAATTAGCAGTTTTCTGTACTATAAACAGAACAAGGAAGCCAACATTGTCGGGTGACTGTAGGAAGAAGAATGTTCCCGGACAATAAAACCTGCAGAAGAAGCTTTCGGTAGCTGTATTAAATCATTACTTATTTTTAAAATGAGGTCAAATCATATTTTAAGTTGCAGATTTAGTTTTCCCACCCTTGTAAACATTAAAAGATATACTACACACTATATCTAGCAAAAATGTTTTAAACTATTTTTTTTTGGAGCAATTATTATTTTTATTTAAATACCCTAATATTAGGTACTTCCCCAAGTCAGATTTTGGTAGACTTTTTTTGTGTTGTGTGGAGGTATAAAAGTAATGAAATCCGTTGAAAAACCTTTTGAAACAATTTTGTTGAACCTCCACTATATTTTTATCTTTAATTACCGGACTATTATGGCTATGGTAGATGTGTAATACCATTAGTATACCGTCAATTTAAAGAAGCAAATTTTATCAAGCTTTGTCCTCCCCCATTGCAAACGCAAAGCTTGAGTACAACTGCAATAAGCATTTTAAACTTATATGACAACCCCGTACGAAGGACGGGTACTCTGCTAGTGGAGAATAAGTCAACTGTTGTAGTTTGCTTGTTTATGAACAAATTTTGTTCGAATTTGGTAAATACATTCATTTCATACTAAACTATTAAGATTTTACAACAAAAAACACTTTTTACCCCAGCCCCCCGTTGCAGCAAACCTAAGTACTCGTTAAACAAATTATATTTAAATAGGGAATAAAATGTGATATTTTTAAGGAGACATTTGAATGAAAATCCAATCAGGCAGATGGAAATTCGCTAAGTCTGTAGGTTTGCTGTGGCGGGGGTATTTTTGTTTTCTTTGTGTAGCATTTTATTTTATTTTTATGAATGACACCTTTAAATGAATAAAGAATTCTTGTCTATTGTTTATTACATTAGTTGTATTTATATCTAATATGGCAGATCGAAGATGGTGGCCAAAAACGCGTTCCCTATTGAAATAAAGTACTAATCACCCAATAAATATCGGTGGTGGTTCCAAGTCAATTTCTCAAAAAATGTGCATAAAAGTGCAAGTGGTTACTTTTTTCAAAATTTGTTGAATTTTGCAAAAAGCTGTCATTTGTAATCTAGATTTTAGGGGTTTTCCGAGTACCCATTTTGGCCAACTTTTAGTATGTCACTCTGCACACCCAACACTACAAAATAAAACCATAAAATGTTTTCTTGCAATTTTTTTTAGGTCATATCCTGTATTTATGACTATGATGAGACTATATGAATCAAATGAAAATGTAGACCCTACCTATTGGAATAGGCTATGAAAGAAAATGTAGTTTTATATTAATTTTACCCATTACCTACACTGATAATATTTAAAAAGTCTTATGTGAAATTTGTAACCAGGCAGAACTCAGAGCTAGCGTCTTTTTGGTGTTAGAAGAGCACGAAGCCTTCAAGGTAAGTGTCATGTTGTACATTGGTATTTATACTACTAACCTTAAAATAAGCAAGCACATGCGTTTTCATATAAGACCATCTATTGCGGACAGAAACAGGCCTGCATTGCCACAGGTGCAGATTGGAGAACACTGATGTGACCTTGGTACTGTGGGATTTGTACACATGTTTCAATCTGCAAAAACATTTTTGATCAAAATCATATGAGAAAGACCTTTGTTTGCTCGTAAAAGATTGTGTCAAGGTATCCCTTAAATAATTGAAACTATGATAACCCACCATATTTTAAGAAAGTCTAACAGATTTCATAAACAACATGCCCATTTATTCCCTAGTGCAATTTGTCCACCTCCCTCAAGAGTTAGCCTATTATTAGAAACTAGGGGTTAGGGGTAGCCTACCTGTGCGATTTCGCACAAAATAAGATTTAACTTCCTTTTTGCATGAACAAATCACGAATCCATTCAGTTACTAAAGTAGCTTAATAAATATTTAGATAAGTGATAAAAATGTATGTAAGCTGAAATACACTGCTTTCGACTTCTCTGTGAAAATACGTTGGTTAGGATTTACACTGTTTCTGATTATCTGACAATCCTTGTGGCATCAAAGTATTTGAAGCTTTGCCAGGGCACGAAGGCTTTGGTTGGTCTAGTGTTACTTTGTAAATTGTTTCTGTGTATTGTATATGGTACAAAGGTAGGCAACAAGTGTCTTGTTAGTCTAAAAACAGAGACGGTGGACATTATGAATTTAGGAAGTAAAAATCATTGGACCTTGACTCAGTTCTTATTAATATTTGCACATTTTTTTGACATTCATTGATTATGCCTTCTCATGTCTTGCGTTAGCATTACGAAGTTGTAAAGTTTAAGACCTACCTGGTGTCGTAGGAGACCCGGAAGGTACCAGGTTAAGGAGGGGTTTAACGTGTACACATTAGTGATAAGGCTTTTAGGAAAGTCAACGGGGGAACTGCAATTGCCGAGAACAATCGTCACTAATGTATACACGTTAAACCCCTCCTTAACCTGGTACCTTTTTCAAGTAACTACCAAATCAAATCAAATTATCTTTATTCACTTTATACAATTTAAACATAAATAGTGTCAAAGCTATTATACAAATTAGGCAAGCTTATACAATTTGAACTAAACAAGTTAACTATAAAATTTTACAATTATTTTAGAATGGCTAGCTATCACATTTTTTGTTTAGAAAATCATCTATACTATAGGGAGCCAGATTAGTTAAAATTATTTTGGTTTCTTTAAAAATGCTGTGTTGTTTTGATCTTTTTTTTAGTGAGGCAGGCAAATTTCTTATAAATAAATTGCCGATATACGAGTACAAAGGCTTCATTTTTTAAACTTCTAGCCAATGATGACTTTTTACAGTAAGATTGTTCCACCTTGTATTGTATAATTTATGGAATACTTCAGCGTTTTTATCTTTACAAATATGCTGAATAGTTTTTAAAATATACTAACTATACACTGCAAAAATTACCATTTCTTTAAAGTTTTGTTTACTGACTTCTTATCCTTAAAATTTTCAATAACTCTAAAGGCCTGTTTTTGTAGTTTTTCAACATCTTTTTCAAATTTTTTGTGCTGTCCCAGCATAAATTATGATTTCTATAAGCGATATGAGTGTATTATTTTTAACACAGCTTTGTCACATAGATAAGTAATTGATCAAAACAAACAAGCGTGGATTAATTTTACCAACTAAATAATTAATGTGTTCATTCCAATTTAGATGTTGATCAATTATTGAGCCTAAAAATTTGGATTTCACTTTTTATGGTATTGTCCACTTTAATAAAATATTCCTTTAGTGAACTCAGAATAGCGCTTTTGCAGATGTCACTGTTATTACTTTTTAAAGTTTGACATGAATATATCATCAACCGATGATCCAGTCCTTAAAACCATAAAAATTGTACAGATGCAGGGTATTTGCAGCTCCTGGATGGTAATTAGAGAGTTAGGCCCTGGGGCTCTTTAAAGTTTTGCATTTCTTCATAAGATTAACTTGGGAAACAAACATTGTTATTGTTTGTATATTACTTACTTAAAAGTCTTTGTTTAAAATAATTTGTTTAACATATGTTGTCAATAATAATTAAGCAATGATATTGATTGTAAACAGTTATAGAATAAAGAGAAACAACTTGAATGTTAAAAAATACTTTTTACTTTTTATCAAATTAAACATGGCGCAGTCGGTAAAGATTTGATTAAGAATTATATCAGAAGAATATACACAGAAATGGAATTTAACAAACCGGATATCCTAAGCCTTGAAGGCAACTTGGAGGAAAATTTTAGGACATTTAAAGAAGAAGTGGAGATATATTTTATAGCCACTGAAACCGAAAAGAAACCTAACTCTATACAAGCAGCAAGGCTTAAAAACCTACTAGGAAAAGAAGCATTGAAAATTTATAAAGATTTCAAACAAGATGAACCAGAAACAGTAAAAACGATATTAGAGACACTAGAGAAGTATTGCACGCCAAGGAGGAATGAAATCATGGATATTTATAAGTTTTTCAAAAGAAAGCAGCAACAAGATGAACCATTTAATAAATTCTATTCGGACCTAAAAAATTTAGTCAAACCATGTAAATTTGAAGAACAAGAGGAAAAACTGTTGAGAGCTCAGATAATACTGGGATTAAGCTCAAAAAATGTCCAAGAAAAACTTTTGAGAGAAGATCTAAAATTGGAAAAGGTAATAGAAACCTGCAAAACGATGGAGTTAACTGAACAAAATATGAATGAAATCAATGAGAAGAAAGAAGTACTTCAAATTACAAATATTCATGATGAGAAGAAAGAAGTTCATCAAGTAACTAAAACCTTTGCTGGGACACGTAAGTTGGAGGAGGACCAAACAGGTAAAAGATGTTTTAAATGTTACAGATGTGGTGGTAGTCATGGAAAACAACAATGTCCAGCTTGGGGTAAAATCTGTAGTAAATGCAAAAAGTCAAATCATTTTGCAAGTATGTGTAGGACAAACTTAAATATTCTTTCTAATGAGAAATGTAACGAAGTAACTGATCAAAGTAGTAGTTCTTTTGTGCCTAATTGCCAAGGCTATGAGATTAACACAGTTTGTGTAATTGATTCCATTGGTAATCAAGAAAAAGCTTGGTATAAAAGTGTTAAAGTTGAAGGGTTCAATGTAAGAATGAAACTTGATACTGGGTCTGAAGTAGACATTGTCCCATATTCCTTTGTAAAACTAAATAAACTACAAAATAGGATGAAGAAAAACCTAAACAAACTAATTTCATTCGGGGGGTTTCAAATAAATCCAGTAGGATACATAGATGCACAGATTGAGACAGAAAATAAAATGGATGTTGTAAAGTTAGTAGTGGTCAGTGGAGAATGTACTCCAATCCTAGGGCTGAAATCTTGTCTAAGTTTAAATTTAATAAAGAAGGTAGATACTGTTGCTAATGGTTTATCAGTAAAAGAAGATGAAGAAAAATTAAAAATTTATAACAATTATAAAGATGTTTTTGATGGTGTGGGTTGTTTCCCTGACATTTGTAAGATAAAATTAAAGGAAGATGCAGTACCACAAGTAAGTTCTGCTAGAAGAATACCATACAAAATTAAAGATAAATTTGAAAAGGCATTAAATTCGCTGGTTGACAATGAAATTATTAAGCAAGTTGAAGAGCCGGTTGAATGGGTCAATAATATTGTAGTACTAGAAAAGCCAAATGGATCTTTAAGAATCTGTATTGATCCTACACAACTTAATAAATATATCATAAGAGAGAGGTATGCAATTCCTTTGCTAGAGGACTTGGCTCCAAACTTAAGTAATAAGAAATACTTTACAATTTTAGATTTGAAAGACGGGTTTTATCATATAAAACTAGATGAAGAATCCAGTAAAATGTGTTCATTCAGCACAATCTTTGGAACTTACAGATTTTTGAGGGCACCTTTTGGCCTCTCTTGTGTACCTGAAATATTTCAAAGATTGGTACACAAATATTTCAAAGATATTAAAGGTCTTTCAATCTATTTTGATGATTTGTGCATTGCTACTGATACTAAAGAGGAAAATGATAAAATTATAAAGCAGGTAATGGAAAGAGCAAAACAGTATAATATTAGATTTAACTATAGTAAAATGCAATACTGTGTTAATAAGGTAAAGTATATTGGTGCTATATTCAGTGAACAAGGGATGCAACCGGATCCTTCAAAAGTTGAAGCAATAAAGAATTTTAAAACTCCTACATCTAAGGTAGAATTACAAAGATTTTTAGATATGGTAAATTACATCAGAAATTTCGTCCCTAATTTGGCTTCAATAGCATCACCTCTTAGAGATTTACTAAAAAAGAATGTTCCTTGGCAATGGTATGAACATCATTCTAATGCTCTTGAAAAAATCAAACAATCACTCTGTAGTAATCAGGTCTTAGGGAATTTTGATCCATCTCTTCCTATTGAAATACAATGTGATGCTTCACAGGATTCTGTAGGGTGTTGTTGCATGCAAAATGGCAGGCCTGTTAGTTACTTTTCTAGAAGTCTGACCACAGCAGAAGTTAATTATGCTCAAATTGAAAAAGAATTATTAGCTATTTGTTTTTCGTGCAAGAAATACCACAACTATATATATGGAAATGAAAATGTAACAATTTTTACTGACCATTTACCTCTGTTGTCAATTTTTAATAAGCCATTGTTTAAAATTGTCAATAACAGAATAAGAAGGCTCAGACTTAAATTGATGATATACAGTTTTAAACTAAAATATTTGCCAGGAAAAAACATGCATATTGCAGATTTTTTATCTCGGAATGGTATTAAAGATGAGGTTGAATGGCATGAACCCTTAGATGGTATTGTGCACTGTATTGAATCTTCTGAAGTGAAGTTTAGTGATAGAAGACTTGAGGAATTTAAAGAGGAAACAAGAAATGATGATGTTTTAAACAAAGTTATACAATTTTGTAA